GCCTTTTAGTAAATATTTATTTTCATGCCTCCTAATAAAAAAAAAAAAAACACCAAGGAACTCACAGAATCTGAACATCAAACCAACGATCTTATTTGTAAGCTATAGATGCAGTGTGAATATTAAAATGTAATAACGTTGATTATACACAATCAAAGTTAATCAGAGACATAATTAATTGGCAACCAGGGATTATTACTGCAAAAAGAAACATGTGAAATATGATTCACCATTTGCTATTTCTCTGCAAAAATACGAAGAAAATATTGAAAATCATCTGAAACGTAATTTTTAATGCTATTACTTTCTGGAAGGAGGGGCCCACGAAGGCAAAAGTGCCGGGCCCACAAAAGTCATAATGTGGCCCTAAACCAAAACAGCATCTTATCTGCTGTGTTAAACACAAGCAGGAGTTGTGTTAATCACAGCTGCCAGAGAAATGCAAAGTGTTAGTGAAACTATCTTCTTTAACACCTGAGAGGGACCACACCTGCAGATTGTATCTGCTATTGTATTTCAGATTAGTCTGTATTTCTTTTTAATCCAGCACAGGGTGGAATCATCCTTCCTTCTTTCCTGCAGATTTGATGCAACTTTTTTTTTTTTTTTAAAGGAAATAACTATTTTCCTGCCTAAAATTTCCTTAGGGGAAACAGATTTGGAGAACCGTCCTGTTTTCCCCTTGCTGCTTGCTGATTTCCTGATGCATTTCCTCTTGCCACCCCCAATCTTGTCAAAGTCCTGATCTCTTGAATCAGCCTGACATCACAGAAGAACTGGCCTGATCAAGTTGGGGAGGATGTAGTTCAAACTCAGCCATTGAGGCTTCCTGGGGGCAAGGGGCTTTAGCCAGTCACACAGATAGGCATTACACTTACACAGATCCACCCCAGGTCACCAAGGAGAGGAAATGAAAAAGCTTTCTTTGAAATTCTGGAGATCAGTGCTTAATCAGAGCAGACTTAATGGGTGAGAAGGACCTACAGGATCACTCTCAATCCTTACTGTTGCATTAAGAGTTATGTTTTTATATACCAGTACCTTAAAACATTATTTTTTAAACCAGTGTTTCTCAACCTTGGCCACTTTAAGATAGGTGGACTTATCTTAGCTCCTAGAATTCCCCAGCCAGCATGCTGGATTACACAGAAATTATACATTAGTTCCAAGAGTTTACATTTCTTACAGGCAGAGCAAATCAGTCAATGCTTCCACATTCATCAGGGATGCCCCAAATATAAATTGGCAGATTTCACGAAAGGATTAGCATTAAAGGAAGAAAAAGCTTTGACTGATCATACGTCTCTGCAGCGCAATGCCTACCTTAAAGGTCAGTGATAGTGAAGACCAAAGAAATCAGCTGTTGGGTCTTACAAAAGTAACAAGGAATGGAATCGCTTACCTGGAGTTGAATTAGAGGGTTGGGTTGGAATCCTGGAGGTGCAAAAAGATTCAAATTGAGCCAAGAGGAGATGCTCGGTTGCAGAGACCGGTTGGGATGTTTTTGATGCGATTTCTGAGATGAAATCAGGAAACTTTAGGAGGGAGTGAAAAAAATAAAATGATGAGGATTTTAAGACAACTTGCTTTGATGAAATGGGCCTAAAGAGGGTGTAATAAGGTGTAGATCCCGTTCCCCACCGGTGACTTTTAGCTTCGCCTAGAGTCATCCAACCCTCATTGTGCTAAAATTACAATAATGACAACAGGGTTTAAAACATTTCAGGGGGTGCTATGAGTCACTAGTAGGGAAATGGCCTTAGGAACATAAATAGGGAGAGGAGAATAAGGTTTACTAAGGAATACCTTAAAGGCAAATGTAAATGAGAGTTTATGTCCAAGTCTTGTGTACAGGTAGTCCCTGGGTTAAGAACGCCCAGTTTATGGACGACCCATTGTTAAGAGTGGAGCCTATTGTAGCAAAATTCAAGTTAAATACACAATGATTCAAGTTAAATACACAATGA